AGCAGCAACAGTTTTAGGACTCTCAAGTAAAAACAATCCGAAATAACCATCCAATAACAATCTCCGAGGCTCTATTAGCTCAAAACTAAGACTAGTACTACTATAACTGATAACGAGAGCATCCCCCCTTGCGTGCAGCAGGCAATACCACATCATGCATTCTCCTACTCTGTCATGTGTTGAGAGGCAGTACTGTATTTTTGGGAGGATTAATTAAAAAACTCAGATTCTTAGTTTCTTGATCAGACTATCAGGAAACCGAATGTTCTGTTTCCTATGGCTTAACTTTCGGTTAAAAGAAATTGTATGAAGTCTAAAGGAATTGCGTGTCTTCCATATCTGGCCTTCAGACCTAAAGCAGCATATTTTCTTGCCCTCTGTATACATCGTTTTCTACAACACAATACGGTTGACTAGTGGTCCTTATAATTTTGAATATGCTAACACAGATGAAACCATCTTCCCATGGTTGTGGCCTTAATTTGTCAACACAAGTGTCTATGCAAGAATTTACAAATCACAGATTCGTTTACTGCTACCATCTGTAAAATTACGCCATACGGTCACCTATAAGTCGACAGGGGAGAGGAGTGCTAGACTGCCTAAAAATGAAAGCCGTTTCTGCTCCTTTTAGACCCTAAATACGGCGGGTCATGTGGCTGGATTGTTTGATGGTACTCTGCTGCCGGATCTCATCACAACTCATTTCTCGTTTGAACCTTCTCTCCTGACATACGGCTGCCTTGAACTGTTGTCCTACTATGTTCTCCAATTTGCTGAAGCCTACGTAGGTATTCTGCATCCTTATAACTTACATTTTTTTATATTCTGCAATTAACTTGGTGGGTAAAAACTCAGAATTAATGTTACCTTTTACATTCTGCTTGTACTTACTTGTTCTTGTTACGGCTGTGATCATGCCTGATCTAGCCGGCCTCAATCATGTCACGGGCGGTCTCTCCATGCGTGGCGATTGGTGGCAGCGGATCTGGAGAACTCGATCCAGTCACTTCTCCAGCGACGGAAACCGTAGATAGGAGGTCCAAGAACTGCGTCCATGTCATGACGGACTGTGTCGAGTCAAGTCTCCATTTGCCCTCCACTTCCACGCCTTCAGATTGGCTGCGGCGTCGGGTCGAGGGCAGCATAGCAAAGATCGTGAGGCGGACGACGGAGAACATGTCCAAACCACCACAGCAGGGTGGCCTGAGATATCCTCGGGACACGATAGCAGTGGATGCGGACTGTCTCATTCGAGATGAAGTCACTATACTTAACTTGCAGGATGGTCCTCAGGCATCGGTGGTCAAAGACCTCCAGTCTTCACTCATCTTCATCGCGCACAGCCCAGCATAAACGTTGGTGCATGACGTATCCGGAAAGGGTTCAGCGGTTCAGCATTGGATCAGCGAGCGCTACTTCTCTAGTGCTCCCCGGGTTTGTGTGGAAATGATCGACGGCTTACTCTAGAACACGTCATTAAGCTTCTGGAAGTCTGGCAGTCGAGAATTTGTTTTCGTCAAAACTGCCAACGTTACGAGCAGAAGGGTGGAACATCGATAGGTTTACCCCTATCTGGACTAGTTGCTAGATTTTTCCTGCCAAATTCGAACAATGTACCTTAAGTTCCAGGTAAACATGCCTCTGTCGGTAATTGTCACCTCCCTCTAATACTAACGGCGGTGCGGCTGCTCGTAGGATTCGCATGCGACCCCCACGGCAGGCCAGGACGATTAAGTCTCGTAACCAATCAGTGAGCATCCATCCACCAATGCTAGCAATGATATAAATCGGCAAGACCATGGGGTGAATGGATTCCGTTCGTGATCGGTAGACACCCCTCTATCGTTGTTGTTCAGTTCGTACTTCCCCTCAAAATGCTGCGACAAATAAGTCGACGATACGGTCGTCGTAATCACAAAGCATGGCCTACAGGTCTTCAGGACTTTTTTGAGCTCGATCAGTCCACAAGCGGCGGTTTTTATGCGACTTACAGCTTACAAAAATTAAGGCCATAATCTATTCTAAGGCTCTGAATAAGCAATGAATATCGGTACCAATCATTATGAACAAATACCTCCTCTAAGGCCTTCATACGTAAGTATATCAAAAGACCTAGTCGTGAGTGGGCAGCCGGTATATTCGTAAAGAAATTAGGATTTAAAGCATCGATGAAGGGCTTGACGAGGGACGGCACGATATTTTAATGACATAATGTAAAGAGAAAATTAAACCAGGAACAAAAGAATTGCACATCTAGAAGGAGCGGAAAGGGAATATTAACATTGAGAATACAACGAGCAGGTTGGTACACTAGGAGATATGTGTGCTTTTGATGTCTGTGTCCTAAGCACTACAATAATCAGGCCAAAATACAATTAAAGTAGGTAAAGGACCGAAGACACCAAAATGAGGGAGTTATTGTGCACAGAACTCCGAGTTGCTGCCCCATACAGCAATGGCCACTACCGTGACCAGGTCTGGTGTTAACTGTGTCCTGTCCGGCATGAACGATAGAGAGAGTGAGGCAGTAGGGGCAGTTGCTTCCATCTGTTTTTGAAGCAAGTTCAAGTGGTGTCCAATTGTTCAGTTGCATAAGCCCATGTGGGGTCGCCTATAGTCGCCTATACCACACCTTGTGACTTGTTCATGTGACTCTTAATCAGTCGTGAATGTCTGGACTCACTTGTGTGTGTGAGCGCCCATCCCATCTCAGGCGGCCGACAGTTAGGCGGTGGCCTATTGCTGGCG